GTCAAGGCTCACCTAGTAGCAATATCAGCTTTCCACTCGCTTTGTGAATAACTGTCCTGTTTTTCCAATCACATGCCAACTAGATTCCTTAAAGGCTGGGAAGGACTGTACCTTCAACAAAGGGAGTCTGTTTTTCCTTTGGAACTTGAACTTAATTTTGTCTAAACTTATAGAGTCTTACATTTGAGTCTGTAATAGAGTGCTCCTTATTACATCTTTCATAGAAGGTGGTCTTCCTAATTGCAATCATTCTGCCAGAAGGATCTCCAAACTGCTTGCCCTCACATCTGAACCACATTGCACAGTCTCTTTTAGAGAGTAGGTGGACTTATACCCTTATCTAAATTTTTTATCTAAGGTAGTTTGAAATTTTCATATCAATCAATGTACTTACCTGTATTTTACCCCATTTCACATGCAAATAAGGATGAGCAATGGCTATACATATTGGATATTAGGCAAGTCCTGGCATTCTATGTTGACAAAACCAAACCATTTCGGTGGTCCATCCTTACAGTTCATGGTCACAATAGGCAGGGCTTGTCAAATCAGTGAATCTACTCACCTGTGACAAGTAGATTTCAGCCGGTCGCCCTGTTCATCGGCGGCGCGCACATGCTCAATGCAGATCTGGCGCATGCGCAGTGCGGGGCTGGCGAGTAGATTTCGCCACAGTTTGTCAAGCCCTGGCAATAGACATAATGAACAATCTTCTGCTCTCTGAAAAGAGAGTTTCAGCTTAGATAACTTCTTACATCCCTGCATGTTAGGATCTGACAGACATCTTTCCTCCAGACAAACTGATTGCCTACTCGACAAGATTACAAACGTGCTTTGATGCTTTCCTAGCACAGATCTTTATCCTAGACATTTGCAGAACAGCAACTTGCTCTCCTCTCGTTGTGCCATCACTCAATATTCAAGAGATGATGCCGAATTTGGTTGGGTTGTACTCCCGTCTGTGTGTACATGACTTCTGATCCCTTTACCTGTATAACTGAGGGTCACTAAGTGTGGAATGTACACATGTAATCACTCCATGACTTAATAATGGTTGCTAACCTTTCATAACTGTTGCACATCTCCATTCCACAGTCTGCCCTCCTCTCCCTCCGCATTGGAGTGTCTGGAAAGAGGGAACTGAGGGGCTCAGTGTCAGGTTCTTTATACAAAGCAAACAGGGCCTGGCAGCAGAGAGTGCTCAAGCTGCCCCAGTGGGTACCACCGAGGGGGAAAATGTCCAGTGACTCTGGTATGGGATGTGCATGCACCAAGAGTCGAATTGACACATGCAACATATCTTGAAGAACAAAAGGATAGTAACGTTTTTTTCCAATCTACCAGATAAATGTAGCCCACCACAAGGCTTCAGAATTTCACTTGTGACAAATAGGAAGCTTTTCTGGCTGAATTGCATCAAGTATATGCAATCTAAGATTTAATTGGATAGCTCAGATATATTTCTAGCTCTTATTAAGGCAAAGATAACCATTTACATATAAATCAAGTGTATTATCTTCAATCTGACAACTCTGTGTTTCTGCCACTGCTGTGTTTTCTTGCAGACCACTGCAAACTGATAGTAAGGATTCAGTGCTGCTCTTGGGACTCCCAGGGGTATTAGTGAAACTGAGCATTAAGTCAGTTTCATGGTGCTACTGTTTGTGGAGTCTCTGTGCAGCATTTTAGGCACCAAAGCATTACTGAGATCTAAAAACAGACTGCAGAATGGATAGAATAGGGGACTTCTTCCTTTCCCTGTCAAAGGGACTCTGGAATGGGAGGGGGAAGACATGGACAGCTCCTCCCTTCCAGTGGCCTGTGGTTACTTCAAACTGGTCTGATGCCTGCATTTACCCTTGTGCCTAGTAGGTATGTTAAATTTTGTTTAATCAACTAATTGACTAGTCAGTGGAATTTCTCTCTACTAGTCAATTAGTCAATAAGCGGGGGAGCCCTAGGAGCTAATCCCGCTGTAGCTCTGCCTTTTAAATGTATTAAGAGCCATCAGGAACAGCTGATTCCTGGCTCGCACCTGGTCTCCTTCGCTGTTCACTAGCCTTTTAACTGTATTAAGAGCCTACCAGCTCTTAATACGTTTAAAAAGCAGACACACAGCAGCTGAGACTGTGCGCGAGACTCCCCACTACCCCCCAGTCTGTCTTGCCCTCTGTGGAAGTGGTGCTGGAGGGAACTGGCTTACATGCCGGTTCCCCCCAGCAAGGGTGAGGGGGAGACTCAATTAGTCAAGGGACTAGTTGACTATCTGATAAGCTTATACTTACATCCCCAGTGCCTAGGGTTGGAGGAACTGAGAGAAACAATGTTTTGTGACAGATTGCATTGTGTCCTTTGGACTCGGGCCCCCCAAAAAATTAGTACAAGCTCTGGCTCACTAAGAAATTTTTTGCAACTGGGTTATTTTCCTCTTTTGATTCTCATTTTTTATAATTAAAAGGTGGTGCAGTTTAAGGCAGAAGGCTGGTCTTGTTTTAAGCATAAGACTGTGTTGGGAGGTTTGGGTTTTATTCAGTCACTTCCAAGGGTTTCCTGGGATCTCAAAACCATTTTAATCCCTATTCCTCATTTTCTCTAAGGGCTCGTCTACATTGGCCCCTTTTCCGGAAGGGGCATGCTAATTTTTCAGATCGTAATAGGGAATAAGAGATCCTCCGGAAAAGGGCTTTTTTCCGGAGGATCGGGCCGGATCGGGGCCAGTGTAGACGCTCTTTTCTGGCTTTTCTAAAATCCGGAAAAAAGCGGTGGACATTTTTATTTAAATGCCGCGGGGGATATTTAAATCCCCCGCGGATTTCCCTATTACGATCTGAAAAATTAGCATGCCCCTTCCGGAAAAGGGGCCAATGTAGACGTAGCCTTTCTGTAAAGTGGAGATGTGTGGCCTAGAGAAGCATATTTCATTAATGTTTAGGAAATGCCTTTTCACTTGGTAGAGATGTTGGGGGGGAAAGGGTGATGCGTTACATGTTTTGTCTTCCATTGCACTTCATCACCCCCATTCCCGTTTATTAGCAGTTTGATTTGTGAGCTCAGTACCATGATGCAATGTTCATTCCCATGCAGAGGTGAAAATAAGCGGTTATGCCCTGGTTCACTGTTCTGGCAAGAGCTGGCCGAGCTGCGGCAAAAGCCAGCAGAGAGCTATTTAAAGAGCTGGCAGGGACCCAGGTTGTAATAGGGCTCTTTAACTTAATTTAACGGGCTCAGGTTGTCAGTCCCACTCCTAGTACTTCATGACAATGAATGAGTTGCAACTCCCAGTTTGAGAACCCCTGATCTAGACTGACCACCTCCATAATATTGTTTAAAACTCTCTCTTTATACTATCTGACTAAAAATCCCTTTTCAAAGTCACACACAGGTTATATGCACTCTTGGTGCTTGTGATAATGCTGTTTTTTCTGGTGTCTTCAGAGTCTTTCAGGAAAGCCAGGATATCATGGGCTGAATTTCTAGTGTAAAAATACAAGCCAAAGGAAAGAGAAACTGGGTGTGGTAGAGTGGAGGTAGAGTGTGGAAATAGCTTCTTGGTCTCCTTCACATAAAATAAACAAGAAAACACAATTCTTTCCTCTGCAGATCATCTTTAATCAGGGGTCTGTGTATTCTAAGAGTCCGTCTTTGCAGGATTCATACCTTACTGCAGAATTGTGTTCTAAAATTTCCACTTTAAATGTAAAGAATGTTTCTCGCCTTCTGGCTGCAGAGAACCTCGAACATTTTTTACTGAGTGACAGAAATATCTTCCTGAGTTTCTATGTAGCCTGAAATAAGAAGTGTCAGTTGCCCTTTTAACTTAATAGGTTATTAACTTTGAAACCTAAAAATGACAGAGCTGCAATGTGGAAAACTGAAATTGTGGGAACAGTATAAAATGAGTTTTAATATCCATCTGAATATCACAGAGGTTGCTGCACTGACTATATTAATTGTTCTTCTACTTAATGTATTAAGATTTTCCATTTAATACGTATGCGAAGCTTTCTCAGAACTCCCAACAGCAAATGCAGAATGTAGGGACCTTGCTTGAGAATGTAGATCCATTTTACTGTGAAGTGAATGAGGTCTTGCTTTGAGCAGGCAGGACTAGTTTGGTTCAGCTTGTGCAGATAATGATACATTTTGTTAAAAAACTGTGCATTAGCTCTGGTGAATAGCTTTTTGAATAACCATTTGTAACACAGTTTGGCCTTAGCGGAACATATCCTATGCTTTAACTTGGTTTGGGTGCGGCCAAATTAAATTACTGTCAGACTAGGTTATTCTGCAAGCAAAATGTGACAGTCCGTACTCTTCTTGTGACTAGAGACTGTTTTGCTATTGATAGCCTTGGCACAGTTTTTCGCACTATTCAGTCTATAATTTTGTTGTCCTATCCATGCTGTAAACAAAAGACAATCACCATGTAGTGTGAATGGAAATAGCATGGTCTCTCTAGATTTACATGCTGGCATCATTAGAATAGTCCAGGAGACCCTAGGAAAACCAAATGGCGCAGAACTACACTACAGTTTTTTAGCAGTATGTGAAATTGCAGTGTTCAAAATTAAAAACCTAAAGCCACGTATATGTAAACAAATGAAGTGTGAGAGGCAGCAAGAGCTACAAGTGTTGAGACTAATGTTCTGTTTCTGCCTTTGCCACTGAACTGTGAGAGACTTTGGGGGAAGTGCCTTCCCCTGTCTTTTACTACCAGTTTGTAGTGCACCTAATGCAGTGGGTACCTGCGCCCATTTGAGGCCTCAGCATGCAACTGTAATAAACTAATTATAGAATATGCAAACATGAAGATGACAGGGTTAACAGAAAACCTCTTCTTGTCCCAACAGAATTGTTGTTCTGAACTGAATAATTGTCTACTTTGATTTGATTTGAGATGAATTTTTATGGATCCAATCAGAAAACAGAATAAGTGCAATGTGTACGTAACCGTGTATGTTTCATTGGAGATAAATACATTAAATTAGCATTCTTTACAGATCTCCAGAATACGAATTTCTGGGAGGAGTACCAAACAGATTTAATCCAGAGAAACACATGGACCATTAAATCTTTCAAAAATGAGCCAGTTCACAGTTTTCCACTGGAACCCACAGTGTCTTGAGGAAGGTAAGGGGTTATTTTTGTTTGCTCTCTCTGGCAGGTGAGCCCTTCAACATTTCAGGGTCTTGATCATGCAGAGTGATTAGGGTATGTAGACCCTCACATTAGTGCACATTGCCTTTGGCTTTCTGAAGGAGTGCTTTCTGTTGGCCTTGGTATTTGAAGAAAGAAAATGTTGGGTGACTAAATCTTTTCCTCTAATGTCTCTGTGATTCTTTTTAATAATGATTAATTAAATGCCTTTTATTTAATGGTATCATGCCTCAGTCAGATCAATTTTATATTTTTTCATTTTGGAACACTGAAAATGTATTTCTTTACTGAGTATTCATTGAAAAGGGGCTACAGTGTACTTTTGTGTTCTGATATTGTGCTTGAAAATATTATTTTTTTTCCAAGAAAGCTGCATACACTTTCCTGTAAGCTCATGAGAGAAGTTATTTTGTAGCTTGAACTGTGAAATGTATTTAGAATGTTTTTAAATAGAATTAGCATTCTGAGCACTGTGTCAATGGTATATAAACGGTAACATCATAGGCAATACTAGTTGTAGGAGAAGGCTCACTATTCAAGATTGTAAATTAGTTTCCTTGAGTATGGAAAGTAACATCTGAGTAAGCTAAACTTAATCAAAATAATAACAACACTGTAGAGCTTGCAGTTTCTTAGGGTATACTTCTAGTCCAGTGTTTCTTAAACTTTTTAAGACCAAGGAACACCAAACAATAATTTTTTTTTATGGGGAACATCAAGGATTTTTTGTTGAGCCAAAAAAAGTCACCTGCCCCTTTAAGGGTGGCCATTTTGAATTGTGTTCTCCACGGCACACCTCTGACTGCCTCGTGCCGCGGAACACAGTTTAAGAAACACTGTTCTAGTCAGTCTGTTTGGATTGTAGGCAGCCAATTGTTAAGCACCCATTTAAAATCCTTAAAATTGGGAACGAACAGAAAATAAAATACAGCCAGTGATCGATTTATATTCTGAAGCAGGAGGGTTTATTTCCTTTCTGATGTAATTGTGGATGTTCTTGTGTATCCATATAGATTACTCTTACCAAGCTCTTATCTCAGACCAATGAATTTCACAGACTAATTATGCATGGATTGTAATAAAAATCGTGGGCTCAGCAGTAGTAGAAATGAGCTTCAGGAACCGCTATATTTTGGTTGACACGGAATTAAATTCTTGACTACGTGTCCCATGAGTCTCTTCAGAACAGCAGAGATGTGAAATCTGCAGTGGCTTGGCCAAGTTCTTCTAGTTGGTGACTGCATTCAGACAGGCTACTTACCCTTCCTTTTCCATTTCAGTTAGACATGCTGGCTAAGATATAAAACACATATTTGAATGGGAGCGGTTGGGTGCAGAGCACTTCTGAAAGTCAGGCCTAAATATGGACTTAGGATCCCATACTTTGAAAATCTTAGCCAGTATTCTTCACTTCCTGTCCTAAACTGTTCTAAATGTTTGTATGCTGTGGTAAACAGCGGCAACATCTTGCCTAAGAAATAGCTGCATTTTAGTGAGGGATAAAGACTTACAACTCTTTAGGATCTTTCAGACTGACTGCTGTTACATTTATTTAACATTATTAGTAATTACTAATATTACAGACCTAGCATAGGTGGTTTTTTTTTTCTAATTTTACATTTCTTTAAGAAGTTTTTAACCCTAAAGAAGTTAGGCAATTGTAGCAGCAAAACTAGTGATTTGTGGGCTTCTGAAGTAAATATGGATGATTCCTAAAACATAAATTTGAAAGGAATGTTAAATATTTGCCTGGGGATGCAGTATATTTTCTCAGCACCTTGGATACTTAATACAGAGCAGGTTAGCAGCTAGGACAGAGAGACTGCAGAACAATTTTCCTTGTCCCAGTTAAGTCAAGAACTATTACAACAGTAGTAATAAGCTCACCACAAGATGGACAAAAGGGTGAGGGGAGTGTCAGCCTACAGCTCGTGCTGGTGAGAGGAGGAAAAAGAGAGTCTGCATGAATGCACCAGTAAGGCAGAACTTGGCATTGGAGACACAAATTGTGAGGCGTTGCACATACCAGTGCAGACACAGGAATACTATAAAAGCATCTAGAGAGATCAGGAATATGATGGACAGTGTGAATCTCCCACTTCTCAAATGAGATTCAACTTGGAAAAATCCATCGGGGAGACAGTAAATAATAATAAATACAGAAGTTAAATGAGAAGGAGAAATCTGTAAAAAGATAATATTGAAAGAGATGTAGGGGGCTAATGGAGACCAAATGTAAATGAGAGTTTGCAGTAATCCATGGTAGTAAAAGGCAGATGCAATATTTGGGCTGCCATGCACAAGGGCATCATGTCACAGAGCAAGAAAGATTAGTCTTTCCTCGCTCCAGTGTGAACACACCTATAACACTATTTTGTATACGGCATTAGGTTGTAGGACCTTGAGTACAAGAAATAGACTGATAAACTAAAGAGTTTTAAAACTGCAGCACGAGTTATCAGGTGACTGGGGAGATTGATTTATGAGGAATGATTAAAATGGAGATGAAAGTCAGCCAGTGCGCCTTGGTGTGGCACTCTGGCAAGAAGCCGGCTGGCGGGCTGGGGCACTCAGCTGCAGTGGAAGAGGTGGGGCACTCCCCACCTGGCTTCCTGCAGGCTGTTGTGCTCAGCAGCAGGCAGCCAGGCAGGCTAAAGGGGATGGCTGGGATACCAGGTCCCTGTTGCTTTTAATGCTTCCTACTTCCTCTTACTAGGGAGCAAGTGGAAGTGCAGAGTCTGCCGCGTTCCTCTTCTGCCCCTCCCTTAGGCAGCTGGAAGCAAGAGGAATGCAGCAGGCTCTGCACTTTCCCCTTGTTCCCTAGTAAGAGGAAGCAGTAAAAGTAACAGAGACCCAGTATGTGTGGCTGCAACCCACTCCCCCTCAAAATAGCACCCTTGCTCACCCACACTCACCCCTACATACACACAGCCTCCTGCCCTGAATCCTGCACCCTCATAACCCCCACTCTGAGCCCTCACACGCTCCCAGCCCCCTGCTCTGATTATCCACTCTCCAGCCCTGTGCTCTGAGCCCCTCCTCATACCCCCAACCCTGATTCCTGAACCCCTCACATCCCAGGCCTCTCAGACACCCCAGTCCTAACCTCCTGAACCCCTCCACCTCAACCCTCTCCTCTGAGTCCCCCGCACTGCACCACACACTTAATTTCTTATATCTACTGTTATATCACAACCCCTTCCCGCCCAAAGTTCTTTCCTTCCCCCCCTCCCCACTCCGTGATAGGACAGTAACTGTAGAGAATTTGTTATTTTCACCCCTGGATTAAAATATTACTACAGGTGGGCTGAAGAATGCATATATATTTGCAAAGTGTAAGCAAAAGAATGAAATAGTCTAGTAGTTTGAAAGGGCATAATTAGGAGAATAAAATGGAACTGAGAGGGAAAAATTAGGTTGAATATTGTGGTGAAATATGACACCTCTGTTAGACCAGTGGTTTTCAGACTTTTTTTCTCATGATCCAGTTGAAGGAAATTGTTGATGCCTGTGACCCAACATAATTTGGCTAGAGAATAGGCTCTGGGGTGGGGCTGAGGATGAGAGCTTTAGGCTGTCGGAGGGGGCCCTAGCTTTGGAGGTGTCAGGGCTGGGGCAGGAAGGGCTTACTTTGAGCAGCTTCCGGTCAGCAGTGCGGTGAGGGTGCTAAGGCAGCTTTCTGCCTCTTCTAGCACTTCAGACCATGCTGCAGTAGGTTCTCAGCCAATGGGAGTGTGCTGCTAGTGATCAGGGCAGGGGCAGTGTGCGGAGCCCTGTGCGCTCTCCCTTCCCCCCCGCCCCGAACCTAGGAGCTGGGCCTGTTGCTGGCTGCTTCTGGGGTGTAGCACAATCTGTGTGCCAGGACAGGCAGGTAGCTGCCTTAGCTCACCTGATCCCCCTGCAGCAATGGAGATCCAGTGTCTGACATCCCATGACCCAGTACTGGGTCGCGACCCGTAGTGTGAAAACTCCTGTATTAGACTGTGAAATTAGTCATTCAAGAGAAGTTGCAGAAACACTATTTTGGGGGGTAATTGGAGCTAGACCAGGGAGTATGATAGATGTTCTATAGAGGCTAAGTTCCAGTAGCAGGGAGATAGGCCTTTTCTGCAGCTCAGCGCCCCCCCTCCCCAATTCTGGATGTTTGGACTGCTCTCTTCTCTTTCAGCTTGTGGAGGCAGATTAGAGTTTTGGCACCATACAGTTTGGTCACTCTCCCTCTGTTCCTGATTGCTGCCAGAGTCTCTGCCTCTGCACCAGAGAACACGGAGGCTTCTTTTTCCTTCCTTCCTTTCCAAACTTCTGTGTCCAGTTTTTTGAGCAGCGGGGACTGGGAGCAATGTTCTCCCTCCTCAGCCTTCACCTGAAATGCCAGGATCTAAATGCTTCCAAGACTTCCAGCACTAGGTGGGTTAGACTGTGTCATGGAACCTGCAAATCTTGAGATGTTTGTGTGACAGGGATTGCGGTGCACTTCATAAGATCTTTAGGAATGAGCAAATGCATCTGTAACCCACATACCTAGGCTCTGTCTACACTGTCTCTTTTTGCAAAAGAGGAAATGCAAATGAAGTGCTCATTAGCATTTCTCGCACTCATTTGAATATTCTCTTCTGATCCTTTTTGCGGAAGAGGTTTTTGTGGAAAAAAACGCAGTGGAGACAGGGCCATTTTGCGCAAAAATCCCCTTTTGCGCAAGATCCCTTATTCCTCAAAAAATGATACAGAAATCAAACTTTTGAATGAACTCACAAACTTCTGAGCTTCTTTCCTACTGAATTTTTGTTTCATAATCCACCCTGTATCTGGACTTTGCTTGCTACTTCCCAGATGTCCAGAGCTGAGAGAGATGCTGGGCTACAGAATGGAGAATTTCTGATAGATCATTCCCTTTCTGCTAGCAGCATCTCCCACAGTTCTGTCCACCCAAGATGGCTCAAATCCAATGGTTGGCTATTAAGAGGATTTGTTAG